GCACAATCCATAGGCCCCCCCTCGTGATCTTTCTTCGTTCCCCACCTCCCTCATAATGCAAAAACTAATCTTAAAAATGGGTAGACTACCGCTCTCCCATGTAATTTCCTCGCATTAGCAGCATTTGCCGGATCACGGCATTTGCACTTAAAAGTCGAGATCGCCAACTTTTGACATCATTTGATTCGTTTCACGTGTTGTGATTTGAATTGGCCACGCTCTTGCAGTTTGCACTCGATCGATCTTAGCCAGCAGCAGCAGCAACAGTGCCTGAGCGGATCGAAGCCAAGATTCCTTGAAACTGGAGGTTGGGCGAGGATAACTCTTGGAGCTTTGCTTCTTTGTGGCCTCATCAACAACCACATGTGTACATTGCATGGGGGAAAGGGAATCATCCCTAATCATCTCGCTTCTGCCACCCTTTTGCAATCATGCAACAAGGGAGCAGTGAGTGGAAAAGGATTTGTGGAGAAAAGCTATGGTGGCCAATGGATAGGCCAAAGTTGCGACGAGTAGTGTTCCTCGTGGTGGGGTGTTTCTGTTATTGAGTGGAATGTTAGCAAAGGGAAAATGTGGCAAGCTTGAGAGCACTGGACACGCTGCCAAAAGGGGTGAGAAAAATAAAAAGGAAGAACCAATATCAGGAATGTCAACACATTATAAGGTGAGGGGCCGAAATGCGAAATTGGCGTTGGAATCTTATACGATCATCCATGATTGACTTCGATCACAGCCATAACTAAAGAGAAAAAGAGTGAGCAATCCATCTCTCAAAGTATAGCAAATTGGTAGACATGGGATTGGGCAATTGGATCTCATCTTTGTCGATCTGCCAAACTTCTGGGGCTCGAAAACGGAAGCTTCATGAAGAGTTTCATGGAATGGATCTTATTTTTTCTTTCTTTTTCTCCTTAGCTGGTGTGCACTTTGATTCATGGCAAAGAAACACATAAACACGCAAATTGCCAACTGCGATGATAACCTGCTGGGCGCCACCTCTCTTTAGCTTTTCGGGAGGAGTTTTCTGGACCTTGGAAGAGAGAGAGTTTCGTTCTGGGCTTTGATATAACTAAGAGCTTTTCTTCAAGCGAGATCGAGTGAGAGTGCTCCCCAGGTTAATGGACGAGCACTTTTTCCAAAGTCAAAAGTTAAGCAGTCCTCGTTGTTAAGTAGGGAAGCCAGAGATGGTCTCTTCTTTCTTTGCCCCAACAAAGCAAGAATCAAAGATCAAATTTCGCTTCATTAAAGTATAAAAACTTGGAGCTGCAATACAGCCCAAAATTGACCCCCATTCTTTGAATCAATCAATCAGTCGATTGATCCATGGATCCATGACTTATTCCTGGTTCCGTTGCTTGAAAGACTTCATGCTAGATACCCCAGAGTTTACAAAGATAAAATTCCAACCCGTCCCCAATCATACCTTGTACTTAACCTAGATTATTCCCAGTCAATTCCTCAAAGAGATTTGAAGCATTGATCTCGCTAAGAAGCAGATTATATTCCCCGATTATTAAGAGCCGCGGTACGCGTTGATTATGACTGGCACGGTGAATCCAGCGTGGTGGCGGCGGCGCCCAATCTCCACCGCAGGCACCAACTATCCAACGGCCCGCCGCCACACACGTGTCAGGCTGGGCGTGATCAGTCATGCGCCGCCGTGGAATATTTTCACGGCCGTCAACCGTCAAATGGCGGGTGAAAGTTTTACTATAAAAGCGACCGGTCAGTCAGTAACAAGGTAAAAAAGTAAAGAGTCTAGAAGAGGTACCCAGTTTGGGCATATGCTTTTAAACTCTGTGGTGTGAGTGAGCTTTAGTGCTTTGGTAGCGCTCTTCTTCTCCTTTGCCCCTACCAGTGTGTTCTTAGCGAGCGAGCCATGGATTCCAAGGCCGATCGCCAGGATTTGCTCTTCTACCTCTTGCCGCTGATCCATTCCAATGCGCCGAGTTTCCTGCCGCTGCTGCTCGCGCTGGGCGCGGTCCTTGCCGCGGCGGTGGCGATCTTCCGCTGGACTAGCCGTGGGGGATGCGCGTGGGCGGATCGATCCAGCACCATCCCGGGGCCGCGCGGTCTGCCAGTCCTTGGATCGCTGCTGGAGATGGGCGATCTCGCGCACCACCGCCTGAGGAGCCTCTCGATCGCGCACGGCGCGCGCAAGCTCATGGCGCTCAGCCTCGGCTCCACGCGCGTGGTCATCACTAGCGCTCCCGAAGTGGCGCGGGAGATCCTCACCAGCGCTGCCTTCGCGGATCGTCCTCTCAAGCAATCGGCCGCGGAGCTCCTGTTTGGCCGCGCTATCGGCTTCGCCCCCTACGGCGATTACTGGCGTGGCCTCCGCCGGATCGCCGCCAATCACCTCTTCTCTCCGCGGAGGATCGCCGCCCACGAGCCGCAGCGCCAGCGCCACACCGAGGTGATGATCGATGCCATCGCCAGCGCCGCCGGCAAGGATCATGGCAAGAGCGTCGGGATTCGTGGATTCCTCCAGCGTGCCTCCTTGGCCAATGTGATGCAGGGAGTGTTTGGGCGGTGCTACAGCGGCGCCGAGGAGGCGGAGCTCCAGGCGATGGTGCGAGAGGGATTCGAGCTCCTGGGAGCTTTCAACTGGTCGGATCATCTTCCCCTGCTCCGGGCGATCAATGTGGACCCCCACTCGATCCAGGAGCGCTGTTCCAAGCTCGTCCCTCGCGTCCAGAAGTTCGTCCAGGCGATCATCGACGAGCACCGCCAGGCGCGCAGCGGCGGAGATGATCGGGAGAGCTCCGATTTCGTGGACGTGCTGCTGAATTTGAGCGGCGAGGAGAAGCTACAGGACCAGGATATGATCGCTGTGCTCTGGGTAAGCAAAGCTTACACGATTCTTTCCACCATAGCTTTTTTCTTCCTGATCGATCGATTGCTCTCTGTTCTTGGCTAGAAAAGAGGAAAAGCTCTTCCTTTCATCAGAGTCATATCTTTTACAAGCTTTCTTCTTTCCTCTTCTACTTTCTTTCGTGATCCAAGTTCCTTGCTAGTCTCAATCGATCACTCGCTCATTCTTTCTCCTAAAGTTTCGATCGAATGCTTTTTCAGAGTTCTTCTCTATGATCGATCCAATTCTTACAAATATCTTCCTTTTCCTTCTTTCAGGAGATGATCTTCCGCGGCACTGACACCACTGCAATCCTCACGGAATGGATGCTCGCGGAGCTGGTCCTCCATCCAGAAATCCAGCGCCGCCTCTACCACGAGATCGAGGAGCTCCAGTCCAAGAAATCGCCACCATCGCCACTCTCCGATCAGGACGTCGCAAGAATGCCGCTACTCCAGGCCGTGGTCAAGGAAACTCTCCGCCTCCATCCACCCGGTCCCCTCCTCTCGTGGGCTCGCCTCTCCACCCAGGACGTTACCATCGCCGGCCACCACGTACCGCGCGGTACCACCGCCATGGTTAACATGTGGGCGATCACGCACGACCCGGCAGTGTGGAGCGAGCCCGAGCTGTTCGTCCCGGACAGGTTCCTCGGTGTGGAGTTTGATGTCAAGGGGACCGACCTGAGGCTGGCACCGTTTGGAGCTGGACGAAGGGTGTGCCCCGGCCGAGCTCTCGGGCTCGCTACTGTGGGTCTTTGGCTCGCCAAGCTCGTCGAAAGGTTTGAGTTTGTGGAGGACAAGGAGCGTCCCGTGGATCTCAGCGAAGTCCTCAAGCTTTCGTGCGAGATGGTGAATCCGCTGAGTGTTGGTGCTGTGGAGAGGTGCCCGATCGCTGCCAGCTCGTGACAAGTTCTCTCAAGTATCATCGTCGTCTTGGTGGTTCCAGCAGGGAAGATCAAACAAGGATGAGAAAAGTGAAGAGATCAGCAGCACCACCAACCTGAGCATTTGTAAAAATGCATCGTCATCCTCTCTTCAGTCTTGCGAGAGCTTTGGTTCGTTCGTTTTCTTACACTTAGTTCCTTTCGTTCTTAGAGAGTTTGCTGACTTTTGGGCTCGAGATCTCTGGCTTGGAAGTGTCTCCAGAGATCGAAAAGTCCCCTTTTTTTTGTACTTGGGGTCTTTCTTCTGTATAAAACTTGCATCTTCTAGAGAACTGTTTGTTTGGTTGCTGCTGCTGATTCGTGCGTTTTGTCGTCAACCTGTCCGAAAGTGGCTTTTGGATGCTACTGTTAAGCTTGAGGAAATTTTCCGCGAGCTCGCTCTCGATCGAAACAACAAAAAAAAAAACACTTTTTGTTTTTTTTTCTGTTTGTTGCTCGTACAATGCAAATAGTCGATCTGATCGATCGAGAGCGAGAGCTTCCCTTTCTTTTTTCTCGCTCTGGAATCAAGCAAGCCCAAAAGAATGATTGATTGAACAAGCAAAACCGACTAACTGCCGGATCCACAATCGAGACAAATCGAGGAAAGATTGCTGTGTCTTTGATTTTCATTGCTCGCCACTCACCGGGAAAGAGATTTTGGCGGAAAGGCAGTGTTCTCTCGCGAAAATATCTACATGTGCTGTGTAATGGAAGTGCAAGAGCTTTCATTCATGCGTGATCGATAATTGCGATGCGTGGTCTCTCCATTTTGAAAAACCATACATAAGGATCATGATCTTTGATGTATAGACCTTCATGTGCTTGATATATCTCGCGATCGTGCTAAAACTTTGGCACCTGTGTTGTAGTCAACCGTTTACTTTGAGTCCACTCTGCGCTGACTTTTCAGAATTTGTGTCGACCAACATGTGCCAGAAGATGCTTTGGAAAATTTGATCAAGAAACGGTGAGATCTGGTAACATGCCATGATAAGAGCTAGCGATCCAGACATTTTGCCATTAAGGTTTTGTTCATGAGATTCATACGCTATCGTCCGAGTGAATTGTTGGCGTGATTCGAATCTTTGATTTGTGAGTTTCGTGTTCCTGTCCAAGTCGAAGGTATGTTGCGACAAGCCGTCCACATTCACCTTGAAACATGCGAACCAAATGGAATATGGAATGAGCGTTAGAAAAATCGAGTCTTTGTGAACCATATAAGCGAACCAAACATCATGTGATTCGAGAGAACGAGCAAGTTCAATTCTTCGCAAACTCCACAAGCGGAGGGTGATATTGTTTTCTAAGTTCTTGGCACACGACGGGAGGAAGATCCTCATGTGGAGTGTTCCTGGATTGACTGACTGACTCCCAAGTTCATAGGAAAAATCTTAGTTTTGGCGGCATAATCTTCGAAGCGTGACCGAGATCCTGCTTTCTTGCGGCACTGGAACTCCATCCCAGATTTGCTGCGCGGGGTTTGTGTTGATTTCGTGCGTCCAGCCGTATCTGGCCTCTCCAGACATGACGAGCAAATCACCCGGACGAAGCATCACTCCCACTTTTCTGGAGCCATCCTCGCAGCTTTTAAAAGTCATAACTCTGGAGGATACCAGCGACAAGATCACGATTCCATCCTCGAAACGCAAGAGATCAACGTGAGCACCTATTCCCTTTCGAAAGCAAACCACCATCAAAAGTTGGTTCATTTTTTCTCACGAACAGAGATTTTAGAAATGTATATATATACACTGACCTCCAAAGGCTTGTAAGAATTCACGATCATTTGATCGAACAATGGCTCTCTGGATATAACTTCTCGAGCCAAGATCTTGGATCTTTTGGAGAGCTGCTCTTCGAGCACACAGCTATGTACGAGTGCTGATAGATTCAACGCCCACAAAGGCAAGCCTCCAAATCTCATTGCCTGGAAGTTTAGAAAGGTTAGCAAATCAACACACAAAAAACAAAGCGAAGAAAAACCACCTGATTTTCGTTTGGGTTTGTAAACCATGACTCTACTACAACACCAAAATCTAAACAAAAAACCCCAATCGGTGACAGTAGATTTACCAGCCTCAATGTCGTCTATAAGCTCCTGTTGCTCGTGATTGGAAAGAAAATCTCGACATATCCAAAGACCCTCGACCTCCTCTACATGCTCCCATTGTCTACAAACATCGATCAAAAAAACATAGAAAAATCAAATCGCAAACTTGCCTCTCGGAGAAGATCCCATCCTCGCCACTATCATCTTCGGAATCCCCAAACACGGCACACAAGAGATTCCTCACCGCCGACTCGTCCTCCATAGGAGGAGAAAAACCCAAAGTGACGTGTCAGCACACGTAGCGTCCACGTCAAGCGAGCTCGAGACGAGCATGACACGTCACAGGCCAGGCTAGACTGAAAATCCGAGACTACTTCTCAAAAAAGACCCCTTTTGGCTTTAAATGCCGCGCTCTCTCTCGATCGAGCCAAGGATAGATAGACTTTCAAGGATTTTTCAAGGCGGTGGGAGCTCATAGCCTGGAACGAAGCACGGTTGTGCTTGGTTTCTCGAGCCATCCATAAAATCGCGCTTCGTTTCATGCTATGCGCGTCCATAATGCCTTGGTTGGAGTCGCGTTGTCTCAGCTGGCGCCTGGATTGATCCATAAAGAACTCCTGGTCTTGTTTAATGGAATGTAGCGTTTCCTTGGTGAATAGTGGTTCTCTCGTTTGATATACGTCTATAACTCCGATGCTGCTGAGAGAATAAACGGAGCTCTTGTAACGAGAAGAAAAGAAAAGAAAAGAAAGAGATGGTAGCTCACCTCTGATTCTGATATGATCTTTCAGCTCAGCTGGATGGTCTCCAGGAAGTTTTCTGGGCGGCGATCAGCTGCTCCTGCTCCTGTGTGTATGACACGCGGATTTCCCAATGGAGTGACTTCAGGAGCGGCTCGATCTCCCCCAGAATTGTCGTGGTGTCTCGGAAAATCCCCCAGCCGCCGGGCCTTAAAATCCTGTCCATCTCCACCACCGTGTTGACAACACCGCAGCTGCAAGACCGAGTAAAGATTCCAGGTTTTAGAACTCCAGCTAAGTGAGCGAACTCCAACTTTCACTGTTACCTCTGTTTCAAGCGTGAAAACAGATGGTCCGCGTGCAGCAGGTCATACGTGCGAGGGTATGTGCTGAAAGACTCACACCAGTCGTGATACTGTCCTATCAAACCACGGTCGGTGATAATCGGCAGTGTATCAGGCTCGGTGACTGGAACCACGTTGAGGACCCAGACTGGGTATCCCACGAGAGCAGCAGCAAATCTGGAAAGTTTACAAGGTTAGCTAGCTGCTAAAGTTGTCTCGAGCTCAAACTTACCCTCCATATCCCGCTTTCATATCCATGACGTTCCGAATTACAGTCCAGTCGATCTCAAGGCCGCGTGCGTAGGATTTCTGGACGACATGCTGCCAGTGTATCGTGTCGGATTCAAACTCTTCCACCGCTGGCTTTCCAAACAATCCTTTTGGAATGGTTCCAAGCCAGTCCGGTGTTGCATTCACCCTCTGGGGCCACTCCTGTGGCCATCTAGTGCCACGGATACCATCTCCTTCGGGGATCTTGTGAAGACAACTTTGCATGGGAACGTACCTGGTAAAGGAGAGCTCATGAATAAGATAGAGAGAGAGAGGGAGAACGATCTTGCAAACCATGCAGCATCTCGATTGTCTGATTCGTCACACATTGGTGGCTCGTTCTTCTGTCGTTTCTGGTAGCAAGTGTTGTCTTTGGGCTTTTGAAAGATGGCAATCCCGACCCCTGTTTTAGGATCCCGCTGTTTCACAATCATCTTCCAGCACATATTGTCAGCTAAGGCCTTCGTGTCTGCACAAAACCACCTCGTCAGAGCTTGGATGGTAAAGCCGAGGTCGTACCTTTCCATATCTGTACATCTTCTGGTTCGTTTTTGTACACTGGAGTGGCCGACCAGACGAAGTATCCTCCCGGACGAATGAGGCGATTGAGCTCCAAAAGAAGTCTACCACCTGTTTCAAGAAGGAAAATGTTAAGAAAGTCCTTTGAACTATACAAAAATGTGCGTACCATCTACATGCCATGGAACTCTGCAGCGAGCACAGTGTGCGATATCGTAAGCATAGCTAGGATAAACCAGCCTCTGCGTTCCCATGACCGCGAGAATTGCTGGAATTCCACGCTCCAAAGCTAGCTGAACCTGAGCTTCGTGTTCGTCTTTTGGAGCGAATGACATGGTAATAACGTTCTTGTCAAACAAAAAGCCTCCAAAACTTGCGACGCCACAGCCAACATCAAGCACGGTGCGAACGTGCTTCCCCCATGCAATATCTGGAAGACTCTGCAAAACATTTACTCCATTAGTCTAAGCTAGCAACAGACAACAGAAACTTACAATCTGGATGAAGTCAATGTAGCGCTGAGCTCCTTGTTTAAATTGAGTTCCACCGCCAGGAAAAAGAAGAAGGTCGTCTTTCTTTTTCACCCAGTTTTGGTCCTTCTTATACGAAACTAATCCAGGATGAGGGACGTTGCTGTACCAGACCTGTAGCAAATTTTGCTAAATCATATGCTCGAAAAAACGAATTCGCATACCTGCTTTCGGCTTTGTGGCCAGTTGACATGAGCCTGGTATCCTGATGGAAGAGGTACGAGGCATTTTTTAATATCGTCTCCAGTTGGGCAATGCCGCTCCCGGTGCTCGTAGTGACTTCTTGACCTCAGCTTCTTAATAGCTTTCTGGTTGTCCAGGCACGGAATATAATCAGCGGCATTGGAGAAACTGCAAAGTTTCAACTCCATATCAATTGGCGATTGTTCGGGTTGCTTCTCCTCGGGTTTTTTTTCTGTTTGCTGATCAGCACTTGGAAGAACATCCTCCTTCTTCATCTCCTGCTTGGACTCATTGGCTTGACTTGTCCAAGTGTTGGAAACCTCTTTGTTTTCAACAGTCAGCTCTAACTCCGTTTTGTTTGTCCCCGGCTCCTCGATAGTAGCAGTGTCGGAATCATCTTTCTTCTCCTCGGCATCCTTGCTTTGAGTCTCTTCGTCTTTTTTCTCTTCTTCCTTGTCCTCGACTTTCTTTTCTTCTCCCTTATCCTCGTCCTTCCGTTCTTCTTTCTTGTCTTCGTCTTCTTTCTCTTCATCTTCTTTCGCATCTTCTTCCACCGGGGCATCTGAGTCTTTCTTCTGCTCTCCAATATCCACAGGTGTGTCGTCCTTCTTCTCGCCATCAACCTTGTCACCATCTTTTTCGTGGTCAGCTTGTTGTTTATCTTCGAGATTTTTCTCCTCGGTAGCATCCATCTCTTGTTCAAAGTCGGAGTCCTTCTCGGAGTCCTTCGTCACCTCACCCTCTCGAGCCTCGGACGGAGAATTCTCCCGGGAACCCATCTGTGACGCTGCTTCATTTGTTTGTGGAACAACCTCGGTACCTTGTTCTGACGGAGACCGGAAGAACGCTATGGCGGCAAGGATCAAGATCGCTACGAAAACGCCCGTGATCAGATAGTACATCGGCGTCTTGCGCCTGTCGCGCATTGGCTTTGCCACCCTCATCTTCGAGCTCCTCCAAAGTTTCTTGAGAGTTCCTGTAAGAAAAATATAAGATCTTAAAAAAAAAAAAAAAAAAAATCAAGGATGGATCGATCTTTCTAACGAAGATTTCGCTCACCGCCAGATCCAAACCCGTGAATGCTGGCATACGGAGCTACATTTTGTTTCCTAGCTACAATGCGCAAGCAATGCGAGCAAAACCCTCGGGAAATACACCCCGATCGATCCAGAGTTTAGCAGCGCCTTACCGGATCTTGCAGCTCCAGCCGATCCGAGAGCTCGCACCTCGAGCGGCGCCGCGGCGATGGGATCCCTCCCTCCACCTCCTCCTCTCTGTCAGTCACAAATCCTCGAGCTCATTTGGCTTGCTCTTGAGTTTAATAGACAGTACGGTAATGTCGGTGGCTCATCACTATCTGTGACCATGTGTACGAACGTTGTTGTTCGGAAACAACGTGAAGAGCGCTACTATTTGAATCGAGGATATTCTCTAGGGTTTTATGGCGCCTAAGCGCGTGAGCACTGCCCCTCCTGGCGATCCAGGAGGCCCCAATGCCGATCCGGCGCAGCAAAAGGAAGGACAGGCCGCGGCAGTGGAAGCGCCGCCTCCTCAGGTATGGATTTGTGAAGCTGTGGTAATATTGATCGCCCATTGCGTTGATTAGGTCGATGAAGAAGTGGTAATGCTCCAGAAGAAGGCCGATGCTGGAAAGACCGAGGCGGACAAACTCAAGTGAGCTTATTTCGCTTAATCCATAAGAATCTGAGGAGTAAGTCTGATATTTCTTTAGAACGATTTGAAAACTTCACAGCTCTTTTTATTTTTCTTTCACTGTAGGCAAATGCTCGACACACTCATGCACGTACAGAGCCAAAATGTGAGGGAAGCCAAGATCATCGAGCTCTTGAAAAAGGTTTTTCTTTTCTCGTTTTTCTTTTTCTATTTATCGTCCTTTGCTTGTTTGTTCTATAGAATGGAAGCATGGCGAAGAATTTAGAGCGTGAGCGATTGCTGGTGGGACGATTAAAGAAAGATGTTTCTTATCTCCAGAAAGAGGTGAGAAAGGATTGTTTCTGTGGGTAACCGGATGGTGTTTTGCTGTATCAGGTTGTTCAACTGAAAGAAGAAGAAAAGCTAAGACCTCCCGAGGAACCCACGGAGGTGGAGAAATCCATCCAAGAATCAAATATATACAGAGACAAGTTCATTCAGGTTTTTTTTCCTTGTTACGAACTGCGTATGTGTTCTCAGTCAAAGCAAGCAGGCAACAGCAAAACTTATGGAGGTCCAAGGAGCCAAAGCTGTGACCTCTGCGGAACTATCCAGGTTACAGCACGCATTGCAACGAGAAGTTGGAAATGTTCCCATTGTTAAGGTGAACGCTTGTATATGGCTGACTGGCTTCTTTTATTTATTTGTCTTTACAGGTCCTGGAAGAAGGCCAATTCTGGAAGGGTCGGGCGCAAATGATTACCCTGCTAAAGGTCTACGATACTTATCAAGTTTCTCTCTGTTCTTACTTTGAGTTTACACAGGACAAAGTCGTGGAACTTGAACAGAAAGTCCGGGAGAGAGCATTGGAAGACCAGAATCATGTGTTTGATTTGAAAGAGAATGCTTGCAAGAAACAAATCGATGAGCTCGCTAAAAATTTTCTGGTGAGTTGTGCGTGTGCCGCAAGAGCTGTTTCCTACTAAACTCACGCATGGCAGGCTACGCGAGAGGAGCTGCTAACAACAAAGAAAAAGGTTGATTGCGTGCTTGCCAGAAGGAACATTTTGGAGAACGAGGTAATCTGATATTTTGCTTAGAAAACACTACTAGTTGTTATGTTGCAGATGAACAATGTGAAAGCAAAGATGGGATTGCTGGTAGCGAAGAGTGATAGCGACGACAAACTGATAGGGGCACTGCGTCAGGAATGCGTCGCTTCCAAACTGGTACGTAGCTTTTCGTAACACTCTTCCTTACATCATGCGGTCTTTTCCCAAGGCTGTGGCACCCGAAAGGCTCAAGGAGCGCATTAGCTGCCCCTTGAGAGTTGGCTCATTGCATCGAGAACACCAGCTCGCAGCTTCTTTCAACGATCTGAAACTTCACTGCCGAGAACAGGTGATCTCTAAAGCCAGAGCTTCTGTTTGCTGTTCTAAGCCAGCCATCGTACAGGAGTTACAAATCAAAGCCCAGGCGGAACTAATCGACTACCTACGAGATATCACAGCAGCAACTAGAGGTACCATGGAAGTTTTCCACGTTCCATACGTTCCACCTCGCGTCCTCGTCTTATACAGGCGAAGAGCAACCAAAAGAAAGTGAGCAGTGACAATCCCAGCTTGTTCAAACGGTGCAAAGCTTTCATTTCCATTACTTATGCTTGGAGTCCTCTCCATTCATCTCACCCTTGGTGTCCTCCTCGTCTTCACTATACTCGCTTCCACTCTCGTCTTCCACAACCTCCTCGTCGATCTCCTCCTCGTCTTCCACCCCGTCCTCGTCGGCCTCGTCCACGGCAGCGCTCAGAGCCTTGGTTGCCACTGCTGGCCGGACCTTCTTGCTCACTCTGAGCTTCACGCTCACCTTCTTGTCACACGCAAGCCAGCAGTCTGACAAGCAAAACGCCGTCAAGTTATACGTCCCTTCCTCCGGCGCTTCAAACATCCCCGTCACCAGCCTGCTGCCTTCCTTCACTCTCTTCACTGCCTCGCTCACTGCCTTCTTCACCTCCGACTCCTCGGCACCTTTCCCTTCCAGAGATTCTTGCGCTGCCTTTGACGCCGATGATATGGCCGCTGCCTCGTCCATGAAAGTGATCCTCTTGTGTACCCAGACGCTGTTCGCGGATGCGTCTCCCAGTAGCACCCAGAATCCTTCCTCCTTGACGTTGGAGTAGTAGGGAGTGTGCGCGTAGGCTGCTGTGAGGCCATTGCCGCGCTTGACTGATATCCAAGCTCGCATCGTCACGGCATCTCCTTCTTGGACGAACTCTTCTCCTTCAGTCCCGCAAGTGACATCGATCGTGACGGTGGGTATCATGTCCAGGACTTCTTCCACGTCTACGATCTGGCCTTGGGAGAAACCGGCCAGGGTTGACAGGAGTTCCTTACGCTCGTCCATTTTCAAGTCCCGGAATTCTTGCAGAGTTCGCACTTTCTGCAAACGAAAAAGAGCACACAGTGAAAAGTAGAATGGGCTAGTCCCTACCTTGCGAGTGAGCTTCTTGTGAACGGAATCGTCGAAGTGTGGGAGCTGCATGAATGCGGCACTCCCTTCCATAAGGCTTGCTCGATCAGATCCCTTTCTGGAATTAAGAGTCACAGCCTGAGACAGAGAAAGAAAAATGTACTTCAAATATCCAATATACAGATAATATAGAAAACAGACCTGAAAGAAGCTTTGAGACAAGTCCATTACTCCCAAAGCAGGCCGAAGCCAGCCATGACCATTTGCACTTCTCGCAGCCAAAGCCATCTAAAAACCAAACAGCAATAAATTAATTGCTTGCAACAGAGTGAGGTTTAACAAAGTCACCTTCATCAGCTCTTCAAGGAGGCGTGGCGTAAGCTGGATAATACGTGCAAAATCCGACGCCAAGCCCGCTGGAACGTCCGCAGAGCTCCTTGTTAAATGTGCGAGCAATAGGAGTTCCGTCTGCCACAACGTAATGAAAACCAAGATACTAAGAAAACGAAACTATTACCTTGACTAGAGCAGGATGCTGCTTCCAAAACTTAGCCTGTTCTTGCTTTAGATTCTTGGGATCAAGGTTAAGTTCGCTTCGTACTACAACAAAAAGCTTCTGCAACGGCTCTTCATCACTTCTACGCACCGGGATTTCCACGAACTCGGCAGCTCTGATGAGAACATCCATCACTTTGCTGCATAGGCCATGCACGCGTCAACGATGAAACTACATCTAGATCCGTTACCTGGGAGCCAGTGATGGTTTCATAAGATAGTAATAGCTTGACAACGTTTGATGCATGATATAGTTTCCAGTGTACTTAGAAGATCGCGATAAATAGACCACCGCAATCAGTAGCGGTAGCAAAATTCCAAAACCGACCAGTCCTAGAAGTATAATTCCTCCAGTTGCCCCGTTGATATTGAGCAAAAACCACGGGAGTGCTATTCCCATTTTGAGCCCCTGTAAAACAAGACGAGGTTACTATAAAGTAGAACTTACGAAAAACTTCGAACCTGTCTGCCATCGGGATGCCCCCATTTCGCAAAATTCTCCCTAGCAACTGGGTCAGTAAGCGCTTGATACGCCTTTGAGATATAATCCACAAAGTAGGCATTGGCCTCTGCAGAAAGCAACGCGTAGATAAAACCATGATGAGGAACTTTGCGCATAAGATTTTAAGTTACCAGGATCCGGATTCTTGTCCGGATGGTACTGCACGGACAGCCTTCGGTAAGCTTTCTTTATCTCAGAATCCGATGCATTCGGCTCCAAACCGAGAATCGAGAATGGCTCGAATGGTTGCGACTGCAAAGACCAAGATAAATGAAAAGAGAAAACGCAAACAGAGCAAGAATTTTACCTCACGAGCGCTGAGCTTGATATAATAAACCAGAAAGATCATCAAAATCCACAAGAAAACCAGTGTGATATTGCTGCATGTCGAGAACCTTCCCAACTGGAACAAGAATTTAACACAAAGAGAGAAAAGAGAGAAGAAGAAAACCAACCTTTCTCCACAACGAGACTTGATACTTGGGAGATTTCGCGCAAAGCGAGCAATGGCAGTGTAAATTCCTCCCCTGCCGCCTCGCAGCTCTGCCAAGCCGATAGATTGTCCACGGCACCACGAACAGGCCCAGCACGGAGAGAATAAAGATTGGGAAAAGGGAGCTCATCTCCTCTGACGCTGCCATTCTCGGGAAAATCTAAGCCTGCTTCCCAGGAACCAATTCCACAAACAGGAGCTGCCGCCTCGATCTAGCTACCTAGCGCCTTGGATCTGCATACCTATCGTATCGATCGATCGCCGAGCAAGCTCGGCGCTCCAAACCCTAGTCTCTCGTTCGTTGACGTAGCCCTCGTTGTATAGGGAGACTTAGTTTGTTAAATAGTACACACAAGAAACGCGCTAACGATTATCTCGATGGAGCTTTGGAGATTTTCTCTTTGCTCCAAGCACAATGAAATGGTCTCTTTTTCTTCTTCTTCTTTCTCTGCTAGAGTTTAAGCTCGATCCTTTGTTTTTTCCAGCGATCTTGACGCGATTCGATCAATCCAGCTCATAGTTTGGATTGACGGCAAGAACGCGTTCTTCGATAGCCGATGGCCGTCGCTCCAGAGGAACACCGCTTTCCTCCGCGGCTTTGAGAGCCTGTTCTACGGCCTCGGTTCCATCATCTATGACGATCAGCACGCCTTCTCGATTTATCAAATGCTGCGAAGGAGGAGATGAGAATCGGAGGAAACTTGAAAATGGTGTTCTTCGCTCACCTGGATTACTGCTCTCAAGCGCTTGATGTCTTCGATGAGCTCGTTTACTGAGCTGTAGACGTTCTTAGCGTTTTGCTCGTTCAGGTACCATTGCACCAGATCTTTTTGCTTCATGCCAGCTAATCCAACATCTGTGAACGGAGAGATTTTTAATTCGATGCTATGAGGAGAAGTGTCTTGTCACCTTCTTGAAGAGACTCCTCGTGCTGCCGCAACCTCAGGACAAGAGCGCGCGTTATTTTCTGGAATTGCTCGTAGCTGACTTTCATTTTCTTTTTTTGAGCTTCGTCTCCCTCCCCCTCTTCCAGTTCTTCCTTGACGGCTGTTTTTCATGAACGTTAGGAAAATTTTCATAAACTTCGGAAAAGTACTACCTGATGGCCCTTCTTCTCCGGTGTCCATGGCTGCAGGCGTTGATTCATCGGCGGCACCAGTTTGCATACCCGGTCTCATATGCACTTGCTCTAGTATGTCCTGATCGTCACGAACATCACCCACGTCGTCGTCGAGATCGATCTCATGAGAATCGACGCTGCCAGTAGATCAGACGGTTAGAATACTTGTCAAAGCGTCTCACAAACTCGGACCTGATAATTGATGTGCTAAGAAGCCGCTTAGCCTCCCTAACGTGGACAGGCCGCACCTGCAAGACTGATATGAAAACTAGTACGTTCCAAACAGTTAGTACCTGATTCTCACAGTGCAACCGTGCTAGAGCTTCGGATAGCCTGACTAATGCTTCTAGCTGCCGAACAGTAATGCGATACGCAACTTGACTTCCCGGAACTGCATCGCCATGCCTAAGAGCAACGTATGCTTCCACTAGTGCATCCCTTGCTTCAGGAGAGAGCTGAAAATTGAAGTTCGTAAGCTAAAGACTTAAGGTGACATAAACCAGACCTCAGGTTTCAGATATTTTCCATACGCAATATACCGCTGCAATTCGGCGGTACTAAACTCCGGTGACAATGCCTCTTCCTGTTTTTGATGGACGCTAACAATATGTCTCGCTATGTTGTAATCGATCTCATCATCGGGATCGTCTATCATAACGTGAACCAGATCAAACCGAGAAAGAATAGCAGGAGGAAGATTTACGTTGTACTGAAATAATGTTCGTCAGCCTAAATCCCGGTTGCAAGCTCGTTACTTGCCTTCAGCGGTTTCGACTTATCGTAGCGTCCACCTGCAGGATTCGCTGCAGCTAAAATAGAAGTCCGCGCGTTTAATGTCGCCTGAATACCAGCCTTCGTGATACTTATAGTCTGTTGCTCCATGGCTTCATGAATTGCTACCTACAAAAACAGATCCATTGACCTTCGGAAATGACTTCGCATATAGACAACAAACCTGGTCCTTGATATCCATCTTGTCAAACTCGTCAATGCAGCAAATACCGTTGTCTGCAAGCATCAGAGCTCCAGCCTGCAACATAGAAAGTGTCATAAATTAAAAAATCACACAAAAGGCATACCTCAATACAAAATTCTCCAGTCTCTGGTTCTTTTACCACGCTTGCAGTTAAGCCAGCTGCAGATGTAGACTTTCCAGATGTATATACAGCACGAGGCAGAAAGCCAGAAACATACCTTCAAAAATTTGAAATGAAAATTGCGAGATTGTAACTCAAAGCTTACTTGAGAAACTGAGACTTTGCACAGCTGGGATCCCCCACAATGCACACATTGATGTCGCCTCTAAGTTTAATGCCTTCGTGTGTTTTTTTGTTGACACCACCAAGAAGCATCAACAAAATAGCTCTCTTTATTTCCTGATGGCCAAATACTGTCGGTGCGATGCTATTCACAAGGCGTTCGTATATCTGGGGTAGATGCATCATCTCTTCAATCTTATCCTTCTCTTCTTGCTGTTGAAAGACAAAACCGGAGGTAAGTAACTCAAGTTCAAGAGAAAGCATACCAGATACACAGGAGCATCATCGTCGTCTCCTTTGCCAGCCCGCAAGTCAATGCTCTTTTGTCTGTCATCGGCCTGAAAAACTGATATTACCATACGTCTGACAATATGAGACGAAAGCTGAATTACCTGTACGCAATTTGCAATAAAAGCCAGCCGATACGAGAGGTCACGAACACCTAGAGCTTTCAATCCCCGCACACCTTCAGAGGGACCACCTCTCTGCGAAGCACCTTCTCTACGAGCTTCTGCTCTATCTCCCGGCGCGGACAGTGCTAAAATGTCCGGAATAACAACCACCGTACCAGTAAACGTGCACCTGTGGAGTGGAAAGTAAACGTCAGAGTCAATGAAATGGAACTCACCTATCTCCAGCTCTTGCTTGCTCTACAATTTCGTGCCGCAAAATTATGTCCAGCGACCGAGGAAGGGAGCCTGCAGGAATCTCTCCGGAGTTTTCCTGCATCCGGACTTTTTGCCAGTCCGCAAACTTGCTCTCCTGGCGAAGTAAGGAAAACCTCTGGCGATTCGAGCAAGTTGCATTGGAGCAAATCAATGGCTGCAAGGACACATCTTTTAGAGCGTGAGTTGAAAAGCCGACTTTTTGGCATACCAAAGTATACTTGAACTGCTGTTCAATGTTTCGGACGATGGCCCCGCAGTCCAGACATCTGAACGCTCCCGACAGCAACTCGGGACGAACCTCGCTTGTCCTGGTGACAACTCCACTTACAGAGACAAGCTTCCCAACTTCCGAAGTTCCAAGCTCCCTCAATCTAGTACACACGACCACTTGAACTAAAGGCCAACAAAAACAATTCATCTGACCTATGCTTTTTGGGAAGATTGTGAAACGCAATTTGGATATCTCTTACTCCATGCTCCGATTTCATACCCTCTGGCCTATGCCGCATTGCGAACTTACGAACAGCCATTTTCAAAAATGGCTCCATCCTGCAAAACAGATCCATAACTAAAAAGGAGAAACAAAATCCTCCCACAGTACCTGAGAAACTCCTCGCTGATCGACCTCTGGAGCTCGTCATTGTGCGCCATTACGTGCGTGAAATCCACATACATTGTGCTCGATTCTTTGTGCAGCATGACCTCGAGCTCGTACTCGTACTTCTTCACTCGATCCGGGTCCTCGCTTTCAGTAGAAATGCCGGTGTCCTCGTAAAACCTTGAAACACAAGGAATGCACGAGGAAAGTCACTCGCGAGATCTAGGCACACAAGAATCACAAGAAAGAATGCAGCCACGCTACTCACGAGTTGAGAAATTCGTAGAAGAGATCCGCGACGCGCGTGCCCTCCCTGTCACTGACGAGCCGCCGCTCCCTCTCCCTCTCGTCGATATCGCCCGGGGCGTCTTCCATCGGAGCGGCAGCTAAAACCCTACTCCCTTCCGCCCTAGCTAACGAAAAAATGGCGGGAAATCCACGTCGGACTCATGTCATTCTGCCAGCGTGGGAGCTTTTCGATTGGCTCCAAGTACTGGCAACGTGGGACCTTCCGGTTGGCTCCCAGCGGGTAGCGCTTTTGATCCAGCCCATCTCTTCACACGAAGAGACATCAGCGAACCAAAAGCGATCACTTGCCATTTTTTTCTTCCTTTTCTTTCTCGATCCGTTTCTCCCCGCTCGTTCGGATCTCTTTTTCTTCGCTGCGAGCATGACCACTGTAGTTGAAGAGGAGGAAGACTGGCCACCGGCAAGAGCCGACTGGAAGTTCTCCTTCACCCCGGACGACCAATACTACGTCGAAGTTCACAAGTTCCGGGTCACGAACTTCATGTCTTTCAATGCCGCTCCACCCCAAGAACACGATCTCCCACAACTCCTGGAGAAGCACCCCTGTAAGGTAGTCACCCACTGCTACCATAACTGGCACTACTACAACATCGAGCACCGCTACGCCCCTGGAAACTTGGAAGTCTACGTTGATCCCACTGTCTACATTATCACGCTTACCAGCATGACGCACGACGGGCAGAGGAATTGCCGTGACGCCACCAAGTGTCACGATTCCAAGATCATTTACGAGTACGAGCACAACGTTTACGTCTTCTCCCCCTACATGATAGACACCACAGTCGACGTTAAAACCAACACTACCATCAAATGCCAGACCAGGCAGAAAGGTTGCAGGCTTTACCATCTTCACGGCCACACTCACAGCCTGGTGCTCACCCATGCGGGCTCCAAGGACAAGAAGAGGATGCACAGCTTTGGAATGGTAGCCCGGGTTCACAAGTAGAGTCTCTTGCCTGTAAGCCACAGATGTTTAGCTTCCGACTCCCCTCACAAAATGAAGAAGCTAGCGAAAACAAAAGAAAAGCCAGTGTATTAGTTACAAATAGCACAACTCAACAAGAACCTCTTTATCTTCTCGAGTACTTATTGAACCTGGCAGTAGCAAAACCTGGTGATGGAAGTTGACTCTCTCTCGGCAAGCTTTAACGGAAGTAAGGCACTGGAAGGAACGGAAAGGGAGCTGCAGATGCGTAAGCAATCGGAGGTCGAGTGTAGTCCTCTGGATTTGAGCGCTTTGACTTCTTCTTTTCGAGCCTTTCACTTCCGCTTGTCTCAAGTAACGCGTCATTGACGGCCTCTAAACTTGTCTCGTTTCCGGAAGGAGCCGTGTTATCAAGCGACTCTTTTGCTGTGTTACGGTTGGGAACACGGTGCAAAAGCATCGCAAACATCAACGCCGGCAAATACAGAAGACTTGCCCGAAACATATGCCTGGCTCGTTGCAGAGTGGGGTCCCGGTAAAAAAGGGCTGCAGTGGTTCCCATTCCAGCAGTCAAGATCGCTGCCTCTGGTCCAAAAAATCCAGACGTCACACCCGCTGCGAAACGGAGGTCAGTACTCGAATCGGGACCAGAATCAGCTTTACCATAGTGAGCAATAAAGCCAACAGGAAGGAGATACGCGCAATTTCTCAGAGCGATAAGAGCAGCTTTTGGTCCAGACACCATTTTGTACCTGCACAAGCATGAGGTGAGAATCGAAATTTAAAGTTAAAAATCCCTTACCCTCCAGCCAAATAGTCTTTGCTGCACATAAACGACAGTGCCATGAAATGCGGGAGCTGCCAAAAGTACAGAGCGGAGGCTAACACCCAAGCGCCCGGATCGAGATGGCCGCTTGCGGCAGCCCACCTGCAGTCAGATATTTCGTCTTAGCTTTGAACCTTTGGCTACTGAATCTCAAACAAGCTATACTACAAAGACTAAACTTACAGCAAGAGATTACCCCATAAGTGGAGGAACAGCTCCTACAATTGCTCCAATCCACGTATTTGCCGGATGCAGTTGCTTCATTGGTGTGTAGGCCAGTGTGTAGAGCAAAATGTTCCCGGCACCGAGAGCTGCGACTGTCGCGTTTGTCTGCAAGATTCCAATCGCTAAGGTCCTCAGTAAAGCAAGTGAGAGGCAATAGTCACTTCACACCTGGTAAGCTAGCAAGCTAATACCCACGCTCCCGCTGGTACCAGCCCATGCCAGCGCGTGCTCCATGCTTATACGTCCTGATGGAAGTGGCCTTCTCATTGTCCGCTTCATATTCGAGTCATTGGTCACTTCAAGAATCTGTCAAGCCCATTAAACATGAGTGAAGAAAACCGGAAAAAAAAAAAAGATCCAAAGAGAAAAAACAAAAGCTAAAGGTGGCGAACCTGATTAAACGAGTTTGCCGATGCTGCGGCAAGCATCGTCCCCAGACAAGTCCATCCCAAGCATGGCACGTCGATTACGCTTCCACTTCCCAGCACAAATCCAGCACCTGAGGTCATCACCACGAGTATGCTACAAAAACTTCGTGAGTTTTGAGAAACGAAAGTCCAAAAAAAAACCATCTTTACCTGAGTCGGGCTTTGGACAATTCCCAGTAGCACCTCCCATAGTGCCGCATTCCATCCCAAGCAGCACTAAACGCAGCGGGAGGCTTGCCATACGCGAGATCAAAACTCTTGGCAGCCGGGGGAGCCGCTGCCAAGCCCTCATCGACGGACAAGCTGGAGATTTCCCTGACCTGATCGAGCGCCGCTGCCACCGGCGCCAGCCTGTGGTGGTGCTGCTGATAGAGTGCCGCGCAGAGCTTGCGCCTGGCGTCCCTGGCGAAAATGCCCTGCATCGCTCATCAAACCCTAAAAATCCCCAGTCACGGCCAGGAATCGAACCCCGCACCCCTCGTACCCGTTAACCCCTTGATTTTATGAAACTGGTAGGACACGTGGCGGGCGGGAAGGCGACAAGGAAGAAAAGTGGTTTATCAAAGCCACAGTGAAGTACATGCTTTTCGCAGGGCCACATTAAAGAGAGGAAAGCACTGATTTTCTTGGCGCCGGGCGATCTTTGCATGAATGGAATGAAACAACTGACACTCCTAGGTACGAGTGGGAAAGAGAAATTTAGGGCTGGATCGATCCGCTAGCGTGAAAGGGGTGGGCAATCCTGGGAATTTTCTGGGAATCGCTGGCGCAGGCCAGGGGAATCTTCGCAGTATCTCAGTGGGCGCGCTGCGATCGATCAGCAAAGTCTGCGGGAGGAGATTGCGCTTATCAATCACGGGCATCGTTAGGTCAGCGCGCAGAGTTCCTCTCCTTTTTCCTTCATTATCCCGCTCGACCAAACTCTCTGGGTATTGGGGCGGCTTTTTTCTTCCATCTTTACAGCCCATCGATCGATCGATGTGTCTCTTTCCTCACATTCTTACTGGGGTGGAGGCAGAGGAATTTCTTACCCAAAGCAAGCGATAAAAGAGTCATTCAATTCTTTCTTCATTCCTCCATTCTTCGCTCTAGTTCTTAAAGTTCTCTCTTTTTTTTCGTTCTCTCGATCGCCCAGAGCCCAATTCAAGATGGATTGGAACTCGGCATTCAAGGACCTTGATGGCGTTGATCTCATCCCAGGGCTGCCCGATCATTTGGTGATACAGCGCGTCCTCTCTCGGATCTCCTGGTGGGATTTCTCCTCGGCGATCAGGGTTAGCAGAGGATGGCTCGCAGCGATCCAGGAAACCGCCAAGAACGCCACTGCCTCTCTCGATCGCCGCCCCCGGCTGCTGGGCTGCATTCATCCGGCCTCTTCCAAGCGACCCAAGCGCGATCAACAATCCCGCGGCTATCCATTCTTCGCGATCTCCATCCAGGCGCCGGGGCACTCCAGCGGCTGGGAGATTCTTCCGTCAATCCCGGGGCTCTCTTGCGGCGCGCCACTCTCCGGGCGATGCGTGTGCGTGGATTCCAAGCTCTTCGTGCTCGGCGGCCGCGATCCTCGCAGCTGGGAGTTTCTTCCGGACGTGTTTGTACTGGATTTGACCCGAGGATGTGGTCGACGAACCTGGCAAAGATGCGCGCCAATGGCAACTCCCCGGTCGGCATTCGCGTGTATCGCGGTCGGGGGGAAGATCGTGGTTGCCGGTGGACAGGGCGACGAGGTTCTCACACTCGCGAGCGCTGAGATTTACGATGTTTGCGCCAATCGCTGGGAACCTCTCCCAGATCTAAACGTCCCAAGAACAGAGTGCAATGGGGGCGTGATTGGCGGGCGGATTTGCGTCGTGGGTGGATACAGCAGCGTCGAGAAATCGTGCGAGCTTGACGACGATCAATCTACCTTTTGGGTCAGCTCCGCCGACGCGATATCGATTGGAGCCAAGAGCTGGGAGACGATCGAGGATTTCCAGACGCCGGGGATTCTTCCTGGATATTCTTGGGAGATCCAGTCCGGGATCTTGCAGTCGGTGCATAGATCGGTGCTAGGGGGGCTCCTGAATCGATGCTCGAGCAATCAGTGGAGGACGATCGATGGCAAAATTGCGTGCTCCGACCGTCCGGGCGAGGATGGGAATGCCACGGCGGAGCTCATGGTATTGGCGGCTGCGTGTGGGAAGGATCAGGTGTACGCGTGCTCGTGCTCGTTGGATCCTTTGAATCCCTCCGGGAGGGTCAAAGTTCTCTTGTGTCGAGCTGCGAGTGGAGGTGAGCTTGTCAAATGGGACAGGGTCGAGTGCCCGTTTGAGCTTGCACAATATGGGGCGTCATGTTTCCTCATTCATTAGATTCACATTATTTTAGTGATTACTTATTTCTTTAATATGATTTTCAATTCTACTTTTGGTCCAATCATTCGTTTATTTTGAGTTAAATAGAAAAAGATCATAATGCTTATACAAAGGTAAAGTTTATGTCTTAAATGATAAAATTAATATAAATATATAAATAAGATTCTGATGGAACTGCTAATGACATTATAATAAGATAATTAGAAAACTTGGTTCTCAGCCTACCAATTGTTTTATGCTCATGCAACTCTTTCAATTGCTAGTACTTCCTAAGCTTGAATTGACTCACAGTTGAAAAGATTTACTTCTTCTTATCAACATCCCAATAAGGCTACAAGAGGCAAGATTATAGGCTTGTTTAGATTAACTATTAGGATTAAAAATAAATCACTCCCATAATAGATGCTAGCTTGGGAATGTAATTGAAATTCAATATTTAGAGATCTTTATTAAACACTAGTGCTAGACTTCCCACTGCAATGAGGCAAACAAATCATCTATCAAATGGCATCCCCTTCAACATCTTACCAAGGAAAGTGCTTATCATTTAAATCATTTAGACTCTCTAGAGAATGAGAATGATTTCAGAAACTGATTTCAGGACTTAGTTTCTGAGTTTTATTAATATAAAATGCTTTTGATTCAATATAAAAGTTCAATTACATCTGAAACAATCTAGAGTAAGAGTAATTTAAAACTCATTAAAGAAGCTCCAATTCCAGAGCAATGGATTAATTTAACAAAGTAGATATGGAATTCAAACTATGATAGTATGTTTTTGGGGGAGGTACATCTTCCAAGAGTGAAGTCCTACATAGAGTGGGTGATGTGGCATACAATTCAATTATATTAAAAGATAAATCCATTTAATATATATATGTGTTTGAATTATTTAAACACATGTGTGACTTACAAAATAATCTTTAGACACTACTTTCTTTTCAGAACATGCATGCCAACTTTGCATGGTTTTGTATACATTAGCACCACATATGAATTCTTTATATGCCATTATGTAGTAATCCACATCAACTTATATTAGTAAGGTTTAGGCTTTGATGTTTTTATTAAATAAGGGTTATGAAAACCATAAGAATTCATCAATGATGTTGTGATCTCTTGCAGCAAAAATTTGGTGTTGTCAAAAATGATGTCATCGAACTCATCATCCATCATCTTTAACTAGTCAAGAATATTTGAAGGAATATTTCATGACAGTTACAGAATGTTTTAGAACTTGGATAATAAATTAAAAGTTAGTTTGGATAGAAACTAATTAGTAACCAAAAATAGTTATGGCATGAGTATATGAGGGTATAGGTCAAGGGTCAAGTTACAATGCTTATATAGTTGGGTGGTGAGTATGTACACTAGAGTAGGTTATATTGGTATCAAAGTCATATACTTTTCTATCTTTTGTGCTAGAATGGTTCATATTCCTATCACTGCTTTTAAAATGTCTTGCCTAGAAGTGATTAATGGATTCAATAAAAAGGTCCAAAAGGATTTGTGTTTAGATATGGAGATGGGTACAACCCATGAGAAGCATGTGAACATGGAGATTAATTTGGTGGTTGAAGGGGTTCATCCAAATGCTTTGATCAAGATGATGATCAATAGTCAAGAAGACAATTTGGATGGGCAAGAGAATAACTCCTAAACTAATGACAATCTGACTAAGGAATTTGATAATGTGATATCGGCCTCAGCTTTTCTGAAAAAATAGTAGCTATCTATGTTCAACAAATTCATGGAGTTGACAAGCTTTTTGAAAAGATGCAAATTCTAGTATTTATTGATGAAGTGATTAGTTAGTTGGATAAGGTGGAGGAGTATTTCATGGGTGAGGAATTCAAGTTTCAAATTATTTTCAATGCCATATACCACTTTAAAGGGAAAGCAGAGAAGTGGTGGTATTAAGTGAAAATTGTATACAAAACTCAACAATTGTTGGAACTCACATCCTTTAAAGACTTTAAGAAGGTGTTTTTGAAAGAATATGCTCCCAAACATAGTTAACACTACAAAGTGATGCACCCAATCAAGAAAGTTGAATCGTCCCCCAAATGCTCTAAGAAAATCTCATAACCAAAATAAATGGTCGTAAACATCACAAAATCCAAAAATAAAATTCCAACAAACGTAAAAATGATATCGTCAAAAGAAACTAGTGTTGTGCTTTTCTATTGAGAACTCTTGTTATGATGAATGCAACCACTTGGAAAGTGGTTCAATGTTGGCCTAAAAAATTAGATTGTCTTTCTCATGCAAAAGATTTGCAAAAACCAAGTGCAAGATAGGAGAAAAACTCTCATGAACAATGATCATGCTCAAACAAGGATGAAACCTAGAGGAAAAACAGAAAAATCTCATGGGATTAGGCACTAAACAAGATGATTTAACTTGAGAATGATAGATCACAAAAAGATCTATAATCCTAATGCAAGAAATTATAAAAAAGGCAACAACTTTGTGTGCTAAAGAGCATGCAACTTTGTTTGTCACACAATGCCAAATAAAATAATTTGGATTTGGCTCAAAACTTCATGAAAATATTGAGGTTATAACATAAAAGAAAGAGTAAAATAAGACGCACATGATGCAAAAAATGGTAGTGAAAATCGACTTTAGATGTTTAAGAAATTGATACTCAAAAATTGCCATAATATAGGGAAGAAAGAAACTAAAGCGTGATTTACAAGAAATGATGGAAATGAACAAATTAGGATAATGGGCAGTTTTATCTATGTCTTAAAACCACTCAAAAGAAAAATCTTACAAAGATGAACAAAATGGAGAGAATTCACACTGTGCAAAACTTTCATACCAAATTGTGTTTGTGTGCTGAAAGAAAAATGCATGCATGTTATGGCTCCCAGTGAATCGACTTCCAAAAAACCATTCCTTGGATAGCTCTTAGCAAAATCGAGGAGCCCATATAACAAATTGGTACAATCTCTCCCTAGGATTTGAGCTTAGAATGAAAAAATATGTGTGTAGAAAGAGGAATGAAAACTGCAAGAATAAAATTGCAAAAACTCTTGCATCCCTCCCCCAAATCATAAGCATTTATATTCATTGGAAACAGGAGCTTGAGATTTACACACCTAAAGAAAGAGTGCTTCAAATGGATCAAAGACAAGGGAGAAAATCCGATTGGCAACTTGCGTTGCGCGTTATAGCTAAAAGAAGATGAAATCTCGCTTCCACACTCAAAGATCTCTCTATAGGGGTGAATTCTATTGTGCCTAACCTATCCCTCTCTATAATCTTCACTTCAAATCTCATAAATCCTCTCCATTAGTCAAGAAATGTTCCAAAAAGGAAGAAAGTACGTGTCACGCTAAGTTCACCATATGAGGTGTGGCACCTCGACTCTTTTCCTCTTTATGGCTCTATTTATGTCTTAAGCTCTCTCTGTATATGCTCTAGCTTATGACACAAAATGTAGAACTTTTGATATTTCACCTTTATAGAACTTTTATACAACCATTTAGAATATTCCCTCTCTTTCTCAATATGCCCTAGCTGCAACTAGGGTGTAGGAGTAGGAGTAAGAGCAATAGGAGTAAATGGCTATACCTGTAATAATATTTGATACCAAAAAATATACAACCAATAAGTTTTGAAGACTATATATAGTAGAGAGAGAAACAATTTGATCCCAATAGTTTTTCTCTAATAAACAGAGAAACCATTTGGATCCAAATGGTGTCTCTCTCTACTCTATAGAGTTTTTTAAAAAAAATTCATTTGGGAAAATAAAAAAAACATAAGAAAGAAAATAAACACTAGAAAGCCATGTAATATATCAAATACTATATAAACAAGTAAAACAAAGAGGATGAAAATGTGATAGACCTCAAAGAAAAAAACCCATAAAATGTAATTCAGTACTGAATGGTTATAAAAAGATAAAAACTTATTTGAAAGCAAGTTGCTTGGAAATTAGATATATGAATCCTACATCTAAGCACCATTGCTGTCTACAGTTACTATTCTAAATACTTTAATCATGTATTAACTCTTGATCTTTTTGAAGTATTCATGAACATTCTCAAGGTTTGATAATGTACAATCATTTAAGAAAAGATAGTTTAGAATACTTCATTTGATATAAACTCTAAAATTTTAGCAATCCAAGCTTACTTCTAACACTAAAGACAAAAATTATTATCATCCTTGAGCACTCCCTAATTCTTTCATTGTTTTAACTCTTCCAAGAGGTTTATTAACCATTTATTATGTGTCTCTAAGCTCAAAGATGATATAAATATGGAAGAGAGGTCATTTGCATAAGAACCGATATCTTCCACCTTCCCATTTTCACAAGAAATGCACCATCAAGTCTTTAAAATGAAGATAAAACTTTGATGTTAGTTTACACAAGAACTAATGTTTCTATCTCTCCCTATTTCCTAAAATATAAAAATCTCACCCCTAGCAATAAAAAAACACTAGGAAAGTTTACCTCTAGAAAAAAAAAAGGTGGGGAAATGTTGGTTCACGCAAAAACCAATCTTTCCCACCCCTTTAACAAGGAAGAAAAAAAGAAACAATGTGGTGGAAATGGGTGAACAAAAAAAAAACAAAAAAAACTAGAAGATGTTAGTTTGTATGAGAATTGACATCTCCATCCCTTTTATTGTTTAAGAGAAAACAAAAATCAAGAAAATAAACTCTAATGAAACAAAGAAGTTGAAGAGACATAAGTTCATAAATCTCTCATCCCACAAAAGCAAGCAAGCTACAAGCCACAAGCTATGAGTCATGAATTACTAGCGAGTTAGGAGCAATAGATGGGGACATGAAGAAGCAATATATATTGATTGAGGAACGTCTTGAAACACATTACAAAATTAAAATGCTTTTCTTTTGCTCTTCCTTACTTAAATATGTCTTTCTCTTGCCCTTCCTTATTTAAATACACCTTTCTCTCGCCCTTCCTTGCTCAAACCTTAGCCGTAAAACCCTAAAAATTAACAGTCATGATCAATGGTGCTTTCTAGATTCCAATTACTTTAATTTTGCAAATGGTAGGACATATTT